CCTGGCTTACGGGAATCGAAGTCCAAAATACCTGGAGGACCAAAGTTTGAGAACCATTGCTACAATATACCAATTCTGTTTATTTTACAGTACCTAAAATTGATTACTATCCCCAATGTGACTTCAAGTATATAATAAACAAATCCCAATCTCTCTTAAAATGATCCAAAGGTTTCTCTTTGATCAGCATTGTTAATTTGTCAATTTCAGCAATCAGTCGTCTTCATCAGCCATTCTTCTTGTATTGATATGTTGGTGTCCTTTCAGTTCTGGGCATATATCATTCTCACTGCTGGAATAATATATTGCAATGTCTTTTCATATTTCTTCTCAATTTGCTCATGCAACATTTAAAGCAGGAAAATCTCTGGTTTCATCTGCATCTTGACATTAAAATTGTGCTCTAGCGTTGAATGAATTTGAGTCCAGTATTTCTGTGCCTTCTCCTCAGTTTACATTTCCAGCATTTGTTTCAGCTATTCTTAAACATTTTCAATAATCTGTTTGGTCTAGATTATTGACATCTAGACAACTCATCAGAGCAATTAGTACTATTACATTGTATAAAGCAACTGGGTAAGTATGCCATGTTGTTGTTGTTGTGCGCCTTCAAGTTGCTTCCGACTTATGGCGACCCTCACGCAAACCTATCATAGGGTTTTCTTGGCACGTTTCTTCAGAAGAGGTTTAGCATTGCCATCCTTCTGAGGCTGAGAGAGTGTGACTCGCCCATGGCCCAGCTGGGATTCAAACCCTGGTCTTCAGAATCATAGTCCAATGCTCAAACCACTACACCTCGCTTTCTGCCTGCAGTGCCTTGAAGCTTTTTAATAATTAATTCGAAACATTTTGTCAACAGGTCACTTCAGCATTTCCAGGAATGTTCCAAAGTCCGCCGTGGCCGTTTCAGTGGTCATGTTTTTCTCCTTGTGAAATTGTCCTCTGTTTGCTTTCCTCTGATACATATGAGGTTCATGGTTAATTTTTTATTCTTTATAGGGTCTAAAGAACCTTGTTGGAAGCAGGAATGAGCATCCAGTTTCTCTGCCTTTTTTCACTTGTGCACAGTTTGTCTATGTGCTACAAGCAAAAGATGTGAAATTAAAACAAAATACGGTGGAATGATGCATTATTCTCTATAAATAATGAAAAATAGCTGGCACTCTGCTTGAGAGTTATGTCTTTGTCAGTGGCCTTATGGTTGCACAAAACTGAATCCTTTCACGTTTATTTTCACTTAAACAATGATATATTCACTTTATATTCACTTAGACAATTACCATGTAGGAGCACCCATTACATTGTGCAACGGTGGAGCAAATGATATGCCGTGTATTATTTTATTATTTATTTCATTTCATTTCTATGATGACTTTCTCCCAGAAAGGGACCCATGGCGGCTCACAGATAATTTTTTATTAATTACAATAAAATACAATTATAGTGGGTCCTTGTTAGGCGCTGGAGTTTGGTTCCAGGACCTCTCCGGGGAGAACAAAACCCATGGATGCTGAAGTCCCATGAAATGCAATGGCATAGTAAAATGATGACCCTTATATAAAATGGAAAATCAAGGTTGGATATATGGAATTTGTACTTTTGGGGAATATTTTCAAGCCGTGGATGCTTGAATCCGTGGATAAAAAATTAGTGGATGAGAGCCAACTGTACAGTGTGCCACGAGCATCAGGGTGCTCATAGGTGTGCATCCATAGACTGGCTAGGAACTACCAAAGCTCACAAATGCTTGCTGCGCATTAGAAACGCCTGATGTACATTGGGTCAGGGGCATCATTAGGGGGTGCAAGGGATGCGGATCATACCAGGTGACCCCACTGCTCCCCAAATGTCTGCCTTTGGGCAGAAATGGGCCGTGGCATTTGCCTTCCTCCCTTTAAGACGCTGAAGAGATGGGGTGAGTAGGGTGAGGCTCAGTGGGTAGCTCTATCCTATGGAATCCTGGGATTTGTAGTTTCATAGGATCTTTAGCCTTCCCTGCCTAAGTGTGCTCATGCCCCACAAAACTACAAATCCCAGGATTCCGTCGGATGGAGCCATGGCAGCTAAGCTGGTGTCAAACTGCATTATTTCTACAATGTAGATGCATCCCCCTAGAGACGGTGGGAATACCTGCCGGAAAATATTCGACAGCTGAAAAAGCTCTCTGAATTTAAAAGAGTATTAAAGACCAGATCTTCCGGCAAGCTTATCCGGATGATTTTTAAATTGTGAATTTTACACGATGAATTTTACATGTGGATTGTTTTAATATGTGTATATCTTGTCCTTTTTAAATTGTATACATGTCCTTTTAAATTGATGTGTATTTTACCTGATGCGTTTCAACTGATGTGTTGAGTCTGTTAATTGTTGTTGTTCCCTGCGTCGATCCATGGGGAGAAGTGGGTAATAAATCATCATCATCATCATCATCATCTTAGAGTCAGATTTCCATTAAATCGTTAATTGCCTTTTAATGTGACTTTTTAAAAAAGTGACCATTGGATGCATTGATTAGACTAGAGCATCGGACTGTGACATGAAACTTGCTAGATGACCTTGCATCCATCTCCCTTCCCCAGCCTGGCCTACTTCACAAGGTTGTTGTGAGGACAAAACTGGAAAACCCATGTGGAACTGGTATTTTAATGGCCTTTTAGTGATGGCATTTTAAGTGGAAGGCTCAGCAAAAATATAACCTCCCCATCGTAAGTGCTCAGTTAAATCCACCTGGGACCATAACTGTTGATTGTTGAATAATCCCAGAAAGAAGGCATTTTCAGCCCTCCCTGTGATGGTGTGTAATTTGGAGGAAACAATAGTGGAAGCTGTTGTTTGGGAAGGAACCGCTAATTAAAATCAATTGGCAAGGAAGGGAATTCCTGTCCTACCCGCACTAATTGCAATGAGGCCTCGCTTTGGAAGAAGAGACAAAAAGACTGGGAGATGTGGGAGCATCCCAAGGCCTGAGTTGTCTATGCCATTTGGGAGGAGAAAACAAATCTGTGTCTGCGTTTGGAGGATCCGGGTCCAAAAGTGCCCCCCCCCATTAGCTTCATAATAGCTGTGGCCAAAATCCTGCATCACCTACAAAGCAGGGTGACCAGACATGTCCTCTTTTTCGACATCCAAACCTTGGGTGAGCAGCCATGCTGGACCCCAAATGGCCACTCAGGAAGCCACAGCAGTGCCACTCCAGCAACGGTCTGGGTGGGCAAGCGGTCAGTCTTGGGGGGGAAGGTCACACCAACTACAGCAATGCCACTGGTTCCAGGATCCCCTGTGGGTACCAAAATCCGTGGATGCGCAAGTACCATAGTAAAATGCTCTCGTTGTGTGCCTCCAAGTCATTTTCGACTTATGGCGACCCCAAGGTGAGCCTATCATCGAGTTTTCTTAGCAAGGTTTATTGAGAGAGAGTGTTGTCATTGCCTTCCCCTGAGGCTGAGAGCATGTCACTTGCCCAAAGTCACCCAGTGGGTTTTTATATTTGAGCAGGGAATCAAACCCCGATCTTCAGTGTCATAGTCCAATGCTCAAACCACTATGCCACACTAATATAATGTCCCTTATATAAAACGGCAAAATCAAGGTTTGCTTTTTGGATGTTTGGGTCCTATTCACACTAGGAAATAACCCGGTGTGGATATTTCCATAAATTTGCCGCGACTGAATCTCTCTGTGGCATTTTATCCCTGGGTCAGGAAAACCCAGTGCAAGTGTGAACAACCCCAGGTAGGGGGTTTGCAAACCGGTTTAAAATGTAGTGTGAACGGGCTCTTTGTTTCTTTAATATTTTCAAGCCATGGATGATGGAATCTGTGGATGCAGAACTCAGCCCTCTCTAAGCAGTTTACAATCTGTAATCCAGTTGCCCCCAACAAGATGGGCCCTCATTTTACAGACCTATGAAAGGATGGAAGGCTGAGTCAACCTTGGAGCCTTACCTGGGATCAAACTCACAGTTTTGTGGCTTTGTGGCTGCAGGACTGGCATTATATCAAACTGCTCTCTCTAATATATATTGGTGCTTGAATATAGGCGATTTTCTCTTTTTGTGGGGGTTTTCGCCCCCAAATGGATCCCCCGCACAAATGGAGGGGCGACTGTACTGGCATTATATATACAGTGGTACCTCTACTTACGAAATTAATCCGTTCCGAC